GTGGGTGGGGCCGTGGTGGCGGGGGCGGGGCGGCGCCGAAGATTCACCGGGAGCCGGTGTCAGGCACTGGGGATCCCGAGAGTGCAGGGCTCCCGGGGGTGTCCTAGCTGCTGGAGGGGTCGCCGCACTCTCAGGGACCGTGAGCTCGAGGTCACCCGGGGCGACCCCCGGCTGCGGGGAGGAGGGGGCAGCAGAGTCCTCGCGGGAGAGGCTGCCCCCGCGAGACGGCGCGGCGCGGGATGCATTCCTTCTCTCTCCTCTCCCCGGCGACGACGACGCTCGTGCTGGACACCCCTGAACTTCTGCAACCAGGAAGAACCTAAGGGCGGGGCGGCCTGGCGCCATCGACCTCGTTCCTGGGGTAGGAGGCCCAGAGCCACGGCCTCCTGCTCCGCGGGCAGCTAGGCCCCTGGAGATGGAAAAGCGACTGGACCAGCTCTGCATTTCCTGGGGAGGATCCTGGAAGCCCACACGGGGGTGGAGGGTGGGGCCGGGGGAGTGCGGGTGTGGGAGGAGGGAGACAAGGGTACCCAGCAAATCCTCCCCTTTGGTTATTCCAAACACCATATCGGGTTTCTTTGGGCTGGTCAGACACCACTTCCTGGGGACCCTGCCTTAACCTTAGGCATCCATCTAACCTTAGCCCAAGGCTGCGGGGGGAATGGCAGGGCTGGCCCCAGAGTCTGAGGGTCTTGACCACCTGGGCCAAACTCCATCAGCCCTTCACCTCAAAAACCCCAAGATAGAGTGAGTCTCAAATCTCAAAGCTGTGTGTGTGTGTGTGTATAGACTAGAGGTTATCAGAAGTTAGGAGAAGAGCAGCCCTCTATCCAATATCAAATCAGAGACTCATCCAGACACTAGTGGCTCACACCTGTAATCCTAACTAAGCAGGAGGCTGAGATTTGAAGATTACAGTTTCACAGTTCATAGGCCACCCTGGGCCAGAATAGTCCCTGAGACTCTTATCTTCAATTAACCACCAAAAAGTCACAAGCAGAGATGTGGCTTGAGTGGGACAGAGCCCATGCCCTGAGTTCAAGCCCCAGGACCAGTATGTACACAACACACTCACACACATAACCAGAGACTCCACATCTGGTAGTAAGTATCGTAGTTAGGAGTTCTGGGAGAGCCTAGGCACCCACCCTTTGGTGCTGAGTCAGGCAGAGCAGGGAGGGAAGGTCTCTGTGCCCAGGATGAAGGGCCTGGGAATGAACAGACAGAGCCACCCCACACTTAGATTTCTGCTCTATGCTCAGGCAGCTGGGTGGGAGGAGTGTGGGGAAGCCCAGTGCCCATCGCAAATGCATTGTAGAGACCTCAGTGGTCACAGTGCTAGCTTCAGGTCATCCTGAGGGCAGGCTCTGCCCACTGGGTTCCTACTGAAAACCCAGAGTGCACCGTCCTCAACCCATTATTTGCTTTCATTCATTCATTCACATGGAGACTGTGTTAATAGGATTGTGAGGATTACCCCTACACTATATGGTATGTGTCTTCAGCTAGCAACTGGCATAAACAGACTATAAAGACAAACCCACATATGAAACCATCCAACCTCAGAGAGGACCTAAAGGTACACCTGTGTAGGTGCAAGGTTGTATTGAAGCCAAGGAAATGTGAAGTTCCTTTTTATTAATTTTGCCTGCTGCAGAGTTTGAATTCAGTGCCTTTGAGCTTACTCAACTTGCTTGCTAAGCTGGTCTTCTGCCACTTAAGCCATGCCTCCCACCCAGCTTTTTGCTGGTTATTTTGGAGATAAGAATCTCACACTTTTCTGTCCCAGCTGGCATTGAACCAAAAATCCTCTGGAGTGGGGAGATCCTCTGGATCTCAGCCTCCTGAGTAGTTAGGATTATAGGTATGAACCCCCAGCACCCAGCTCAAGTTCTTTAACAGCTGATGTGTGCTGGGATGGGGCCTCTGGGGACACTGGGAGAGGCTACTGCAGGACAGTCTGGCTGGAGGCAGGAGTAGGTGAATTTGGAGGAATGAGTAGTGGAGGTTAAGGTTGGAGTGAAGCTGGAGGGGTGAGACTAGAAGAGGGGTGAAGCTGGAGGGTACCCCCTCTCCCACCCTTCCTCTTGATCAGGATTTAGGTCAGTCCTGGAAATCCCTGGACAGAATCAGGATTAAAACCTGGTGGGGGCAGCAAAAATAAGGATTAGGGTTAGGATTGGGGTCAAGGCTCCTACATCCATTCCTGGGGCAGCCCAGAGTTCTCATACCTGGCCCCACTACAGACCCAGCTGCTCAGCCTCATGGGGCACCCAGCCTGCCTCCTGGCAGATAGCAGCCATGGAGGGACTGATTGGTTTTGGGGTCTTGCCCACATCCCCTTCATGGCAGACCCCACTACCCAAGGCCTGGTGGTCTCAGGTATGGGGCCCAGGGCTCTGCATTATAACTCTGGCCCCTGAGCTCTTTCTCTCCATCTGGAACTCCAGGGTTTATTTTGGGATTTTGTTTAGTGGTGCTGGTCCTAGGGCTTGAACACAGGGCTTAGGCACTGTTCCTGGGCTTTTTTTGTTCAAGGCTAACACTACCACTTGGGCCACAGCTCCACTTCTAGCTTTCTGCTGGTTAATTGAAGATAAGAGTCTCACAGACTTTCCTGCCTGGGCTGCCTTTGAACTGAGATCCTTATATCTCAGCTTCCAAAGTAGCTAAAATTATAGGAACTGATGCCCGGCCTCAGTTTTTGTTGTTGTTGTTATTGATATATATTTTTTGTTTATTTATTTGTCTGTCATGGGGCTTGAACTCTGGGTCTGGGTGCTGTCCCTTAGCTCTTCAGCTCAAGGCAAGCATTCTACCACTTGAGCCACAGAGCCACTGATTTATTGGAGATAGGTCTTACAGACTTTCCTGCCCAGGCTGGCTTTGAACCTCGGTCCTCAGATCTCAGCCTCCTGAGTAGCTGGAATTACAGGCATGAGCCACAAGAACCCGGCTCAACTACTTCTTTTACAAAACACAGAGAGACTGTGGTGCCAGGCCTTCCTCACACCGTGCACGTTATATCCCCCCACTGTAAGCCAGGATGTGATGGAGCTAAGGAGTTGCATTAGCAAGCAACACCCAAAAAGTCCAGGATCAGAGGCCAGCCACCAGCAATCTGAACCCTCTGTCTCAAGAAGACCCTATTGCCAACACTCTTCCCCACTGGTGATGGCCTGGGCTCATGTCCCCAGGTCAGGCCTAGTTCCCAGGTGGTGACTATGCAATTCCCCAGGGAGGCTCAAGCCAGCTGGGCACACACCGGCTCTGGAATGCCACCATCATCCACCTGCCTGACCATTAATCACAAAGACACAGCCCGGAATATGCCTGGGGAGTATCTTGTATGCAGGCGCAGGGTCAGAACTTCACACTCAATCTCTATGTCCTGGTATCAGCCCGAGAGCAGAGCTGTGGTTGCATGAGTTGAATGAGCACAATACTGGGCTGACACAGGGCAATAAGCCACTTTATAAAAAAAAAATTACTTGAGGGCTAAGAAGGTGGCTAAGTGGTAGAGTGCTAGCCTTGCATGCATGAAGCCCTGGGTTCAATTCCTCAGCACCACATAAGCAGAAAAAAGCCAGAAATGGTGCTGTGGCTTAAGTGGTAGGGCACTAGCCTTAAGCTGAAGAGCTGAGGGACAGTGCCCAGGCCGAGTTCAGGCCCCACAATCCACAAAATAATAATAATAATAATTACTTGAGTGTATATGCTTGTACTTGGTTTGAACTCGGAGCCTAGAAACTGTCCCTTAGCTTTTTTGTTTAATGTTAACACTCTACCATTTGAGCCACACCTCTACTTCCTGCTTTTTGGTGGCTAATTGGAGATAAGAGTCTCCTAGACTTTCAGCTGGCTTTGCATCTGTCCTCAAATCTCAGCTTCTTGAGTAGCTAGGATTACAGGTGTGAGCAGCCAATATCCAGGCTAACAAGCCACTTTTTTTTTTTTTTTTTTGCCAGAGGTGGGCTAAACTCTGGGCCTGGGTGCTGTTCCTCAGCTCTTCAGCTCAAGCTAAGGGCTCTACCACCTGAGCCACAGAGCCTCTTCCAGTGTTCTGGTGATAAGAGTCTCACAGATGTTCCTGCCTGGGCTGGCTATGAACCTTGATCCTCAGATCTCAGCCTCTTGAGTAGCTGGGATTACAGGCGTGAGCCACCAGCACCCAGCACAAACCACTTTTTAATGTAATTGTGTCACCATATTGTAGGAGCAATACATGTGTATAATAAGAACTTAACTGTATTTTACTCTACTGAGAAGCTACAAACCAAGAAAGAAAGACCATCAGGGAGAGGTGGTCTTCTAAAGTCTGAATGGAGCCCAAATGTCCACTGCTTCCCTGGCCAGGGAGACCACAGTTGGAGCAATGAATTTAGGACCCTCTACTCTGGGCAACTTTCTGGCTTCCAGAAGGAAGGCACCTGGAGAAGGTACAGGTGGAGGCTCAGTTTTCAGGCCCACATCCACCAGCTCTGTGCAATGCTGGCTGAAGTGCAGGGGTCCCAGAAAGGCCTTCACACCTGCTGGAAAAGTGAAAAACAAACTTTTCTTCAAGTTTGTTCCAGAAGGAGGAAATTCTAACTGGTAGGCCTTGTCCTGAGGGCTGGGAAGGCAAGAATTGGAACATCTCAGGCCCTTCTGCAGATCTGCCTGGCATCGACCCCAGCTGGAGACAAGGGGCCAACAGCCTGGGCTGACTTTCCTATTGGCTCTCCTTACACACACTGTGTAGTGTACAACCAGAAACACATCATTGGCAACAACTGAAAGCCATCAGTCAGTAAGTGCTCAGGGCCTGGCCACAGGAGCGTGGGCAGAGTATTCATGAGACCTAATCATCAGTTGACTCATTCAAAACTACAACATAAGCCAGGCACCAGTGGCTCCCACATGTATTACTAGCCACTCAGGAGGCTGAGATCTGGAGATTTGAGGATCAACCAAAGCCAGTTGGAGTAGCAAAGTCTGTGAGACTCCAAAATAACCAGCAAAACTGGGCTCAAGTGATAGCGCTCCAACCTAGCAAGCAAGATAAGCCAGGGTGAGGCCCTGAGTTCAAGTCCTTGTATCAACAAAAACAACAAAATCCCCACAGAATATGGCCATGTGTGGTGGCACACACTTGACATCCTAGCTACTTTTGAGAGGCAGAGTAAGAGGATCAGGAATCAAGGCCAGCCTAGGTGAAAAGTTACTAAGACCCCACCTAAAAAAGTGACTGACCCAAGTGGTAGAGCATCTTGCTAACAAATACAAGCTCCTGAGTTCAAACATCAATTTTTTTAAAAAACAGGCAAAATAATAGGAAAGGATTTAAGTAATTGTGTAATTCTTATCTCCAATTAACCAGCAGAAAGCTGAAAATGGAAGTGTGACTCAAGTAGTAGAGGACCAGTACAAAAAAAAAAAAAAAAGGCAGGAAGGGGCTAGGGAAGGAATACCACAGCTGTGGTGGGGGTCCCATGCAGGGCAAGGCCACATGCTCAGAGCCTAGGTTCAAGACCACCCTCACTAGAGAAGTTTCTGCTTGCCACACCAGCAAAGCACTCCTGGGAGCTTGTCCAGACAAGCCAGACCATTCAGAGATCCATGAACATGAGTCGACAGCGGCTGTAGTGCTATCTCCACTCCAAGCCATTGGAGGGAACCCAGCTGCCCTGCAGGGGGTGACAGCATTGAGCAGTGGTGCACTCCTCTAATCCCAGCACTCAAGAGGCTGGGAAAGGAGGAGGGTGACTTTGAGCCAGCCTGGGCTATGAACGTAGCAAGAATTGGTCTCAAAAATAAATAATACAAAATAAAAACCAAGCTGGGTGCCGGTGGCTCCCACCCGTAATCCTAGCAACTTAGGAGGCTGAGAGCTGAGGATCATGGTTTGAAGCCAGTGTTGGAAGAAAAGCCCATGAGACTCATCTCCAATTAACTACCAAAAAGCTGGAAGTAGAGCTGGGCTGCAAGTGGTCAGAGTGCTACCCTTGCATGTAAAAACCTCAGGGGCAGTGCCCAGGCCGAGTTAGATGCCTACTTAGAAGCCGAGGAACCTCAAAACATTCTAGACACCTCAGCACACTTGGAAGCCACCGGACTCTAAAGTGGCACACTGTAGACACTAGGCACGATCTAGTCAAACTGTTGAAAACAGAGGTAAAGGATAAGGTAATCAGGTGGCCTGCCAAGATCTGCAGGTGTGGGGATGGAGGACATTTGTGACAGATGGGAGCTGCTGGCTCACACTTTGCTCTGACGATGGTAGGCTGGTACAGAAGAGCTGAGCCTCTAGCTCTGGGGGACCCCCACTCTCACATCCTCATCCTCTGCCTCCACCCCATCCAGGCCTTGGGAGCAGCAGCCCTGCCTGCAGACCGGGAGGAAGCCAGGACCCCTTCCCATACCCAGCTCTCCCCTGCATCCCTGCTGAGTCCTCCCCTCGGAGCTCTCACGATCCTTCCGCTTTGTACTTCTTGCTAAGCTCTCCGCTCTCCCTGCAGTGAGGACCACCCTCTGTGCCCCCAGGAGAAAACCAGGCACCCTGGGCTTCAAATCAAGTTTAATAAATAAAACAGCAACGGGCAAAGGCAGGTGCACTTCACAGTGTGGCCCTCGGTGGGGAGGGAGTCGAGTCCAGCTGCAGAGGCTCGAACACAGCACCGCTCTGCCGGCCTGGGGGCGGGAGCTGCCTGCCCCAGGACCCCACTCCAACTTGTAAACACCAACATAAATAAAACCAAGAAGGCCAAAAAGAGGACAAGGAGCCCCAGCCATTTTGTTCTGGGACGTCTCCAACAGAAATAAGACCTACAGGGTCAAGGGTGGCTGGCGGCCGGAGTTCAAAAGGCGATGGCCAGCGCTTCCAGACCGGAACTCCCTCAGGTCCAAGGGAGGGGCAGGAAGGGGTGAGTCACCATCGCCATCTCCTCCCCCGTGAGGGGCTGCTGGGGGCCCCCCCTGACCTGTGGGCCAGGGCAGGATGAGGGAGGCAGGAGGCAGGTGCGGGAGTAAAGTGCGGCTTTTCCTGAAGTGGAGATGGGCGGGAAGCAGAAGGCGGGCGCTGGGCAGCGAGGTATATGGCTCTGTGGCCCACAGGTCCAGCACGGAGCCTCAGCGCCCAGCCCTGCCAGCCATGCTGAGGCGCCCGGTCTGAGGCTGCTGGTGCGGGGTAGTGTCCTGCCTGTCCCCCGGGGCAGCGCTGCCTGCCCTTGCCTCGGCCAGCTGGTAGGAGCCAGGCAGCCAGCTCTGCCCTACATCCTGAGGGACAGGCCTTCTTTGCGCCTGGCTGCCCAATGGGTCCCACGGTGTGGCGGCAGCCTGGGGTGGGTGGTGGTGCCAGATGCTGGGGCCTGGTCCAGTCTGTGTGAGAGGCCGAGGTCAGCGGCCTAGCCAACTTGCTGGGTCCCACTGTGTGAAGCAGAGAAGGTGTCCCCAAGGCCCGAGTCAGGGAGAATCAGGAAGACAAACAGGCAAGCCTGGTGGCAGGGCCACGTCCAGTCCGGGCCACGCACACCTGCCTGCAGCCAGGGATCAACAGGTCATCACATTGCAGCTAGGAGAGACCAGAACACAAGGTCACAGGCTCGGCAGGGCACACAGCTCCCAACTTCACCTCCCCCACGGAGAAGCAAGCTTCTGGGCTGCCTCAGTTGAGCTCCTGGGCTGAGCACAGGAGCCCTGGAGACTAAGGGACGGGACAGGGTGCAGAGCCCAGCCCTGTCCCCGTTTGTTACCTTTCTGCATTTTGAGCCAGAGGAATGCATTACATTACCTAGTCAAAAGATCAAGTGGCTGGGGAGGCTGTCTTGGGCCCGCCCCCTGGGCCCATGCTGGCCGGCGGCAGCCCGCACACTGGTGGGGAGGGACGTGGAGGGCGGTACTCACTGTGACAAGGGCTCCGAATGCAGTGCAGGGGCCGGGCACGCTGGGTGGCCAGCCAGGAAGGGATTCACATCCCCAATGCCAATGAGTCCAAACTCAGTGACTGACAAAGCCACCTGGGCAGGGGCCACAGGCTCCTCTGGGTCCCCACTCAGACCCACGTGGCTAGACACAAGCGGTAGCTCCTCAGGCAGGGTGAAGTCCACGGCCAGCCTTGGGCTGGCACCTGGCTGCGGAGCAGCTGCGGCTGATGGGAACTCAGCTGGGTCAGCCAGGGCAGGGGGCCGCTGGGGCAGGGGCACAGTGGAGGGTTCATCCAGCTGCTGGAATGGGCAGGGCCCTGGCTCCGAGGAGGGGAGGCCATCAGAGCCCACTCCAGGCTGCTCAAGACCACCAGCTGTGCTGTCCACGTTCAGTGGCTCTGTGGGGAGCAGACGAATGGGAACAGAGGGTGGGAGCCAGCCCAAGCAGGGATGGCAGACCCTCCAGCCCAGGGGGCTCCTGTAGCAAACGTGCCACTCCTGCTCAGCTCTTACTCACACTGGGGGCTGCAGCTGGCCCCACCCAGACTCCCAGGAGAGCACGTCCATACCACAGTAACAGGTGGAGAAGCTAGGAGACCGGCCACACTCAACTCTGGGCCAGGACAGCCCCCAGAGAGGCCGTAAGAGCAGGCCAGTGGGTCACTCACCTCAGGTAACTGGGATTCTGGGAACTTCTGTCCAATATGCACGAGTGCAAACAATGCAAGCAGCCTGGGTGCCCCTCCCGGCTGCTCTGGCTCAGCAGACAGACCCAGGCAACCAACTTTGTGCCCATGTCTCTGGGGTCAGCCACAATGGAGGAGCCAGCTGGGGCCCTGTTGGGCTCCTTGTGGCTCTGGGCTGGGATGCTAGAAAGGGCTGGAAACATCCTGTCCTCCCTCATGGCCTAAGGGCTAAGGGGCAAGCCCTCACCTGAGGCGGCTGGGCTCCACCTGCCCCTCCATGGGGCAGCTCGGTCTCCCTCCATGAGGCCTGACCCTGACAACACACCTGGTGACCAGGTGGCACCAACACTATGGGTTGGCCTGAACCAGCCTTTGGCTACCTGGATGCCCACCACTCACTGGGAGACTGTCCTGGGCAGGTGCATGGGCCCAGCCTTACCTAGTCCCCAGCTGCTGCCTCTGCACTTACCTGCACGCACCCCTGCCAGGGGCTCCTGCTCTGGGCGGGTACGGGTAGAGCCATCAAGGTCAAGGCCTTCCAGGTCCTGGTCAGCATCCCTGTGAGAGCAAGCTGTAAGGGGCAGGCGGCAGGGGGGACAGAGGCCCCCACCCTGGGAGGGGCCATCATGCCCACCCAGGCCACAGCCATACATTGTTGCTGAGGGACATGTGCACGCACGTGGTTCCAGGCGGAACAAGCTTCCTCCGGCCCAGCCTTGTCTGCTGGGCAAAGTAGTCGTAGCGTTCAGACTTCTTCCACAGGTAGTAGTACTCCACGCACTCTCCCACTGACCGTGTGCGCACCTGGGAGGCGGGGGGACAGGCATCTTCTCAGCCCTACCGCCCCGCCATGGCCTGCAGGGATGAGCTCGCCCTAGTGACCAGACCCACACTACTCATGCTCTACCTGGGCTCACGGCCCTCCTGCAGGCTCTCCTGGTCCTGCTTCTTGCAGGCTATGGCGCACCCCACGCTCACGGCTGCTACAGATAGGGGCCCCACCAGAGGCCAACATGTGCACCAAGGGATACTGCACTCAGCCTCACCCTAATTTTCTTAGGTAAAATCACTCGAGCTAACCAAGATGCCCGGCTCTGGGAAACCCAGACTCAAAGTCATACTTGCAAGCTAAGGATGCACACAGGCAGCAGACCAGGGCAAGGAACGTGTGAGCTCACACTTGTCCCCGGTATATCTGATAGGTGGACACACAGCTGACCACCCCAACAACCATGGTGGCCATCAGAGGCACCTCCAGCAGGAGGCTCACCCCAGAGCTGGAACAGCAGGAAGGTCCCATCAAAACAATCCTTGGCTTACAAGCCCACACCAGACCATCATGTGGCACTGGCACATGGCCTCACAGGAGGCCCAGACGGCCCTCTAAGAAGTCCGTGGGTGCATCTAGCTCTTGCTCCTGCCTATGTGTGGTGGGCACCCTCAAGGAGGGCAGCTGACCACACACTAGCCCCAAGACATCATCTCACCACAATTCAATGACACCAAGACCCCTACAGGGCATGAGGCTAGGGCAAGGGCCAGGCCCGCCAGCCTCGAAAGGATCCAAGCACCCAAAGGAGAGGTAGCTTGCTGTGGCCATCTGTGGCCAAGACAGCAAACCATCCCCAAAGGCCAGCAGCCACCCAGGGAAGAACTCCAGTGAAAGCGAAAAAGAAACGGAAGACAAACATTACATCCAAGAGTTGATAGAGCCAATAACTCAAGAATTAAAGCAAGAAATGGATGAGAAATTTAAAGAACAAAGAAACGAATTATCAAAAGAGAAAAAAAAAAGAGATATACTCAAGGATAGATGCAGTACACACCTCGTTAAGATGAAATTAGTACTTTGAGAACCGACATAGAAATCATACATGTTTCAATTTCTTCCATTCAAACCACAATGGAAGCCATAGTTAATAGAGTGAATGAAATGGAAAATAGAATATCAGGTAGTGAAGATAAAATGCAGCAACTGGGGAAAAAAAAGTCACAGATATGGAAAAAAACACTCAAAATATGCCTAAGGGAAGTACAAGAACAAGCAGACAGTGCCAAGAAATTTAACCTTCGTATAACTGGGGTTGACGAAAGTGAGGAATACCAGAACAGAGGGATGCAACACTTATTCAATAACATTATCACCAAAAATGTCCCCAATCCTAAAAGAGAAAATCTCACCTACATAACAGAAGCATACAGAACACTAGCAAACAGGATCCCAAGAGGTACACTTCTAGGCACATCACAGTAAAAACGCTAGATCTGAACAATAAAGAAATGATCTTGTATGTGGCAAAAGCAAAGGAGGAACTATGCCACAATGGGAAAAAAAATCAGAATCACTGCAGATCTCTCCACACAGACATTGAATGCAAGGAAAGCCTGGGAAAGTAGCATCCATGCCCTGAGAACCAAAAACTACCAACCCAGACTGGTATATCCAGCAAAAGTAACATACACATTTGACAGAGAAACTAAAATTTTTAATAGTAAAGAAAAACTAAATGAATTCATAAATAAGCCAACACTACAAAGAATATTAATAGGGGGAATACAATCTGAAGAAAACAAGATCAGGGATCCACACCAGAGAGATATCACTAGAAGACCAACTTAGTAAGCACAGGAAGAAAGGAAAGAAGAAAAACTTAGGAAAGCAGGAAAATGACAGGAAACACAATTCACCTCTCTATAATAACCATATCAATGGACTCAATTCACCAAGCAAACGAAAAAGAACTGCAGATTGGATCAGAAAACAAGATCCATCCATTTGTGGTCTTCAAGACACCCAGATCACAGCCAAAGATTAAAAACAAACTCCAAGTGAAGGGCTGGAGGAAGATCTAACATGCAAATGCTCCCAGCAAGAAGGCAGGAGTTGCCATCCTGATATCTGACAAAATAAATTTTTCATTAAAATCAATACAAAAAGATAAAGAGGTTATCACCATTATAAATTTATACTCTCCAAACATTGGAGCCCCACATATGTTAAGCAAATACTCTCAGACTTACAGGAAAAAATAGATACAAATACAATAATACTAGGAGACTTTAATACTCCATTCTCACCAAAGGACAGGTCTACCAACCAGAGGATTGGCAAAGAAGCCTCTGAATTAAATGATGCCATATCTCAAATGGACTTAATTGACATCTACAGTATTCCACCCAACAACTCAGTACACATTCATCTCAGCAGCCCATGGAACTTTCTCCAAAACAGATCGTTCATACAAAGAATTTAAACAAATACAAAAGGATCGACATAATCCCTTGTATTCTAGCTGACCATAGTGGAATCATGCTAGTTCTCAATAACAAAGCATACTGTAGAAGTTACTCAAAAACATGGAAACTGAACAGCACACTTCTGAGCAACTCGTGGGTCACAGAAGTTAAAGAAGAAACTAAAAAGTTCCTACAATTCAATGAAAATGAATATGTATCACAAATCTGTGGGACACGGCAAAAGCAGTCCTGAGGGGCAAATTTATTGATCTCAGTGTACACATCAAGAAAATAGAGACAGACCAAGTAAATAATCTCATGATACAACTAAAACTGCTAGAAAAGCAAGAAAAAATTGAACCCAGTTACTAGACAGAGGGAGATAACCAAAGTAAGAGCTGAAATTAACAAGATAGAAACTAAGAAAACTATAAATAAAATTAATAGAACAAAAAGCTGGTTTTTTGAAAAAATAAAATCGACGGACCTCTGGCAAGATTAACTAAAAAAAGAAGAGAGGGGATCAATCAATAAGATCAGGGATGCCACAGGAAAAATTACAACAAACATCTAAGACATCTAAATGAGTATAAAGAACTATTTCCAGAATCTATCCTAAGAAAGGAAAACCTAGCAGAAATGGACAAATTTTTAGAGAAATATAAATTGCCCAAATGGAACCAAGAAGATATAAATCAATTAAATAACCCAATAATTTACAATGAGATAAAGAAAGCAATCAAAAGTCTTCCAATAAGGAAAATCCCAGGCCAAAACAGATTCACTAAGAATTCTATAAGACCTTTAGAGAGGAACTAACACCCACACTCCTCAAGCTCTTCCACTAAATAGAAGCAAAGGGAGAAATCCCAAACTCATTCTATGAAGCCAATATCACACTCATCCCCAAACCAGGCAATGATCCAACAAAAAACAGAGAACTACAGACCAATCTCCTTGATGAACACACATGTAAAGCTCCTCAATAAAATTTTAGCCAACAGAATCCAGAAACATATCAAAAAAATCATACATTATGATCAAGTAGACTTTATCCCAGAGATGTAGGGATGATTTAACATATATAAATCAACCACATACATAATCCATCACATCAACAGTCAAGATCAAGAACCACATGATTATCCACTGATGTGGAAAAGGCTTTTGATAAAATACAACACCCATTCTTGTTAAAAGCTTGAGAAAACAGGAATAGAAGGAACATTCCTTAAAAAATAAAAGCCATATATGACAGACCAATAGCCAATATTATACTAAGCCAGGAAAAAGTACAACTAATTCTCCTAAAATCAGGAATAATATAGGTCTGGAATCTTTAGCCAGAGCAATAAGAGAAGAAAAGGACATTAAAGAGATCCATATAGGGAAGGAATTAAAACTATCCCTACTTGCAGATGACATGATCTTATACCTAAATGACCCTAAAACTTCACTCCTAAACTCTTAGAACTTATAAACCACTTTAGCAAAGTAGCAGGATACAAAATTAACCATCAAAAATCAGTTGCCTTTCTGTACAACAACAATGTACAAGGAGAAAGGGAAATCAGGGAAACAACCCCATTCACAATAACCCCCCCCCAAAAAAAATAAATCTAGGAATTAACTTAACCAAATAGGCAAAGGCCCTATTTAGTGAAAACTATAAAACCCTAAAGAAAGAAATCAAAGAGAACACCAGGAAATGGAGGCAGAATCAATATTGTGAAAATGACCATACTGCCGCTAGGCACTGGTGGTTCATGCCTGTAATCCTAGCTACCAAGAAGGATCACGGTTAAAAGCCAGCCTGGGCAAGAAAGTCTGTGAGGCTCTTATCTCCAAAAAACTAGAAGTGGTAGTACGCTTGTCTTGAGCTGAAGAGCTGAAGGACAGCGCTCAGGCCCAGAGTTCAAGCCCCATGACTGGCAAAAAAGGACAAGCAGAAAAGCTCAAAAGCTTTTGGTACATATGACCATATAAGATGATGCTAAGTGAAATGAACCCCAAGATAAAGACACAGATGATTAAAATTCTTGCTGTTGTTTTTAATGTACTTACAAAGTACCATGTGATTTTGTTTCTTTTGTATATTCTCCCTCCATGGTATAATCCCTGTTTTCATTGTATTTGATTCCAGTGCCCTGAATCAGTATATACGTTTTTCTAATTTGGGGAGGGGAAAGGAAATAACAAAATGCTGAAATAAAGATATAGGTTGACCCATTGTAACAATAAGATGTATAAGACACTATGTTGAAAATGAACTTTAAAATTTTGGGGGGTGGGGCGGAGGAATTGGGGAGGTGGGGTGGGAAGGGATGGTAGGGGAAAAACAAAGGTGGAGGTAACAACACGTGATAGGAAATGTACTCATTACCCTATCCGTGTAAGCCCCTGTGCAGTATTTTTACAATAAAAAAAATACAAAAGAAAAAAGAAAATGTCCATACTGCCAAAAATGATACACAAATTCAATACAATTCCCATCAAAATTCCAATGACATTCTTTACTAAATTAGAGAAAACAATCCAAAAATTCATATGGAACAACAAAAGACCTAGAATATCCAAAGAAATTCTAGGCAAAGAAACAACGCAGGAGGGATCACAATACCAGATTTCAAACTCTACTATAGAGACATAATAACAAAGACAACTTGGTATTGGCACAAGAACAGACCCGAAGACCAATGGAACATATTAGAAGATCCAGAAATAAAATCACATACCTATAGTCAGCTGTTATTTGACAAAGGAGCCAAAGACATACAATGGAAGAAACATAGCTTCTTCAACTATTGGTGCTAGGAAAATGGGGTGGCCACATGCAGAAAACTAAAAGTGGACCCCAGCCTGTCACCATGCACTAACATCAACTCAAGATGGATTAAAGACATTAACATCAAACCTAAAACTCAGAAACTACCGCAGGAGGGCTGGGAATGTGGCTTAGTGGTAGAGTGCTTGCCTAGCATGCATGAAGCACTGGGTTCAATTCCTTAGTACCATATAAGCAGAAAAAGCCAGAAGTAGTGCTATGGCTCAAGTGGTAGAATGCTATCCTTGAACAAAAGAAGGAAGCTCAGGGACCAGTGCCCAGGCCCTGAGTTCAAGCCCCAGGACTGGTAAAAAAAAAAAAAAAAAAGTAAAGAAAAGAAAAGAAACTACTGCAGGACAGGGTAGGAGAGACACTAGAACTTACAGGCACAGGCAGGAACTTCCTGAACAGAGTCCCAGGGTCACAACAGATTGGAGAGAGAATTTATAAATGGGAATACCTTAAAATCAAAAGGTTCTGCACAGCTAAAGACATAGCTGCCAAACTAGAAAGACAGCCAACTAAGTGGGAAAAGAGATTCACCAGCAACATATCAGACAAAGGCCTAATATCCAGTATATACAGGGAACTCAAGAACCTAATCCCTCCCAAATCTTACAAACCAATTACTAAATGGGCAAGGGAGCTAAAGAGAAACTTCTCAGAAGAAAAGATAAAAATGGCCAAGAAACACATGAGGAAATGTTCATCATCCCTGGCTGTAAAGGAAATGCAAATAAAGACAACCCTGAGATATACCTTATTCCAGTCAGAATGGCCCACATCCTAAATTCAAACAACAATAAATGCTGGCGGGGATGTGGAGAAAGAGGAACCCTATTGCATTCCTGGTGGGAATGTACACTAATACAACCCCTCTGGACAGCAGTCGGAGCTTCCTCAGAAAGCTAAATATAGCATACCCTACAACCCAGCCATACCACTTCTAGGCATCTACCCTGAACAACAGGAACCAGGACACCACAGGGACATCTACACCTCCATGTTCATTGCTGCACTGTTCGCAATAGACAAATAGAAACTACCCAGATGCCCCACTACAGATGAATGGATCCCAAAACTGTGGTACCTATATACAATGGAATATTATGTATCCATTAGAAAGGACAAAATAATGGCATTCGTAGGGAAATGGATGGAACTAGAGCAAATCATTTTGAGTAAGGTAAGCCAAAACCAGAAACAAACGGCACATGGTCTCCCTGATATGTGGATGTTAAATTCAAAATGCGAGGATATATGACAAAGTAAACAGGACTCAAGAAACAAAGGACATCTACTTAATTTGTCATATAATTTCTAAATGACTCCATATTCTTGACCTCATATATGGTACATCTTTGTGCACATCTGAGGGAAGCGAGGGGAGGACACAGAATCAGAGGGAAACAGGAAAAAATACAGCAGAGGGGCCCATCAGCTACACTGGACATTGATGAAAATGAACTAAGCAACTCAAGGCAGGAATGGGAGGGAGGAAATGAGAGGGAAAGAGGGAACAGCTGACACTAAGCAAAAGAAAAGAAATATACGTATCACCCAATGTAGAAGAAATAGTTGTATTGTCAAAGCGTACAGAATTCACAAACTTTATTGACCAAGATAATGATAATTTGCCTTGTGAAGGTTAAAATATGTTTGTGACTTTAACTAAGTATCACTATCCTACAATACTGTAAAATTTATGTAATCACTTATCTCAATAAAAAATTATTAAAAAAAAGAAACTCATTGCCTGACTTATGTAAATGTAACCCCTCTGTACATCACCCTTACAATAATAAAAAATAAACATTTAAAAAAGGACTGCCAGCCAGGAAAGGGCAGATGAAGATCTGTGTCCCTGAACAAGGGAACAGAAGAACCTCATCTCCACATATGGAGCCAATAGGCTCCACTCAGGATGGGGTAGAGCTGAGAGCTGGTGTGAGCCAAGCACATGAATGAGATTGCTGACAGACTGGTCCCCAAACTGAAGCCTTGCCCTTTGGGGAAGGGAAGGTAGCAGAGGAGAGTAGGGAGAGGCAGCGAAGGGTGCAGGGGAGGAGAGGAGCCAGGCCCTCTGGCATGGGTACCTGCTCACCCAGGCCATCGGTGCCTCACCTTGTTGGCCTGGATCAGGTGGAAGTTCTTGCCATGGACACGGAAGCCATGCTCGAAGTTCCTGCGCTCCTCCTCACTCCAAGCACAGAGCCCATCTGCAAACGGAGTATGGGGTCAGCGGGCCCAGCAGGCAGCAGGGGACAGGGAGGGATGTGCGGGCCATGGCTTACCTCGGATCACCTTCACGTTGAACCTCAACCTTCGCAGTGCCTCCTCCACATTGAAATTGCACTTCACCAGCTCGTATAGTGCCTGGAAAGCAGGGTGTGCCATTCCCACCCAGCCACAGGCTCCAGGGACCATGGGCTCCGGGGGCAGGGCACCACTGCCCCCAGGCAACATGAATGCCTGCACGGAGTGACCTCATGGGCCTGTGCTGGGCTGCTGCCCCGCCCCATCTGGCATGTCTCCCTACCGCTCCCAGAGGCGTCAGGGCAGGCGCCCTACCTGCTCACTATCTTTCACAGGCTCGCCCTCCGGGAGCTGAGGGCCCGCCATCTCGTGCCACCGCCGCTTCACAGCTCTGTACAGAAACTCCTCCACCTCCCTCTCTGGGAGGACATTGGGGACCCAGAGCAGCTGGTCTTCATTCTCGTAGACTATGCAGGAAGAGGGCAAGGGTCAGGCAGCAGACACAGCCCTTGGTTCAAACTTTTGTTCTCTGCTTTTCCAACCTTACGAGGTGGACAGACGCCAACCACACTCTCCCACTGCCATGATATTCTGCCCAAGCAGAATGGGGGCCACGGGAGCATGGACTGAACCCACAAACATAGCCTTCCTTCCTTTAGCTGTGTCTGTCAGAAACTGCTCAAGGCATGCTGTGGATTCACGTGCAGTGAGCTCCCAGGGAGCAGCTCCCCAATGCCTGCCTGCAGGAGGCTGGCACTACAGGAGGACTCCTCCACGAGGCCCACTGCAGCTCCCAGCACAGAGAAACACCACACAACACTTCCGCACCCACTCAGAGGCCATTTTAAGCAGATAAACTAGCCAGGCGCCAGTGGCTCACACCTATAATCCTAGCTACTCAGAAGGCTGAGATCTGAGGATACCAATTTGAAGCCAGCTTGGGCAGGAAAGTTCATGAGACTCATCTTCAATAAACTTTGCAGAAAAAGCTGGAAGTGGTGCTGTGACTCAAGTGGTAGAGCGCTAGTGTTGAGCAAGAGAAGCTCATGGACAGTGCCCAGGCCCTGAGTTCAAGCCCAAGCCCTAGAACTAGCTGACAACACAAAACACGAAACACACCACAAGGTGGTCCTGAGGAAGGAGAGGTGCTCTTCCTGCCCAGCCCCCGCCCCCCCGCCCCCGGCCTGCAGCCTCTCTGCGCACACGCACCAGGGTGACCTCAAACATGTGGCCACTGCTGTTTGGGGATCACATCATGAGAACTGACTGAGGAAAGACAACCCCTGGTGGGCAGGAGAGGTGACTGCTGTTACCTGTGCAAGAAAAGCCCTCCCACACAGCAGAAGCAGCACCTGACATGGGACAGCAGGAGGACAGAAGGGCTTTCTGACTACGGAGATCTGAGTCATAGCCCTCCACACAAACCCTCAACACCCTCCCTAAGAGCTGGGCCACAGGCAAGTTCGTCCTCTGCTTCACTTCACCTTGACCTGTACCAGCAAGTACAGTGAGGGAAGAAGAGATGTGGAGATCAGGCTTAAGAAACCACAAGAGGCCTGGCGCCAGTAGCTCGAACCTATAATCCTAGCTACCAGGAGGCTGAGACCTGAGGATCACTGTTCAAAGCCAGCCTGAGCAGAAAAGTCCGAGAGACTTATTTCCAATGAGCCACCAGAAAATCGGAAGTGGTGCTGTGGCTCAAGTGGTAGAGCACTAGCCTTGAGTTGAAGAGCTCAGGGACAATGCCCAGGCCCAGAGTTCAAGCCCCACAACTGACATAAAAAAAAAAAAGAAACCACAAGAAATACAAAAGGATGTACAAAGCATTGGAAATTAGGCACTTAGCACAGTCACCAACAAAGCACACTTCAACTAACAAAAGCAAAATAGAAAATGCAAACGTTTTACGTATCCTTTCTAATAGTATCACAGAGTTCAGTCTGAATCAGAGGCAGGTGACCTCTCACGTGGAGAAAAGGAGGGATCCAAACCACAGGCAAACACAGATAAATTCACATCCAGGGACAGGAACAACAAAGACGGACATGGGACAACTAGGAAGGTCTATGACCAGACATCCAAGGGAGAAAAGCCTCAGGGAGGAGAGGCTGAGGGGCAGTGGGTGTTCTAAGGTGCTGTGAGGGCAGGGGACCATGGGAACAAAAGCTTAGGCAGAAGCCAGGTTCACAGACAGTGACCCATGGATGGCCACCTGCCCACTGAGTGCCTGGAGCTCTAGTGGGCTCCAAGGGTAGGTACCTGACCCAACTTGGGTTCTCCCCAAGAACCCGACAAGCCAGCCAAGGACCAGTTTCAGTTCTGCTTTCCCTGGACCACTTACTCTTCTCGCTATGTCGGTTCAGGTGCAGGCTGCTAAGGTCAGCTTGGAACTGAGGCCCCACCATGATCTCCTGCAAAGACAAAGGAGGGTCAGAGCACCTGAGAAGCCTCTGGCCACCAGAGCCCTGCTACAGGTTCTAGGCAAAAGGCTGCTCCCAGGATCCTTAAGGATCTTCCTGTAGATGCCAAGCTCTGCGCGCTCAGAGTGAGGCCTGGATGCAGTGGGAGACAGAGCATACTGCTGCCCAGCCCAGCAAGTCCCAGACATGATGCAGTCCTCATCACCAGGGCAGAGGCAGACCTCTGGGGTAAGGATACCGCAGCTGGACTCCATCTCTGGAGCCATATGGCTGTCCCTGGGAGGAGGGACACACCCAGCAGAAGGCTCCTGGGTTTGGGGCACGTCTAGATACAGCCTCGCACCTTCTTACACTTGTTGGCAGGAAGAGAGTCCTCCTCAGTGTCAGAGGAGGGAAAGGAGCAGGGCTCTTTGTCTTCGTCAGCCAGGAAGCGGGCTGTGGGAGAAGGGAAGTGGTGAGCTGCATCGTAGCATTGGGGGGACAGCCCCCAAGCTGTACAAGCCCAGGTTCCCAACATCTGATCCCTTCTCAAACCCAGCAAAACCACCCACAAAGGGACCTCTCTATGCTGTCAGGGATGTGAGCGGAGCAGCCTGAAGGGCCGTTTTGATGGCTTCAGCTTGCTGTCTTTGCTGACCTGCCAAATGTGCCATCACACACCCTCTTGCTTCAAACCAAGCCCACCATGCCATCCAGCTCACAGGCCAGAGCACCCGACCCCCATCCCAAACAACGCCAGCCAAGGCCGTGTGTGTCAGAGCCCAGCACTAGGGCTACAGTCAGGAAGGGACAATGACACCTACACCCACTCTGGTTAGGGAAGAGGTTGGAGGCCTCGTGGGAGGTGACAGATGGAGTGAGGTCGTCTGCTGAAGACTGTGTCTCCTCTTCTTCCCCTGAAAGCAAATCCTTTGCAATCTGGTCCTTGGAACAAGAAAAGAAAGAAAACATCACTTTACTTCAGCCATATCAAAACTACACCAAAAGCAGGACACCACCACAAGCAGGCCACTCAGCAGTGCCCTAAAGCTCCCGGAGATGCCAGGCAGAAATGCAGAGGCAGGCCAGCCTCGGGTGCAGGGACACAAGGGCTCCTGGCTGTCCACCTGTGTGATTGTTGCCGCACCACCGGCGCTGCTCTCCCTTCCTGGCTGCATGGGCCCAGCACAGGTTCCCTGGACCTCCCCAGACCACAACACTGATCAGCCCAAGCCACAAACTCTCTTCCTCCCCTCAATCCACCTGTCACCCACTGGGAGGTGGCCATAGCGGCTGTGCCACTTACAACTCTGCTCTCGTGCTTGCCAATCACGTTCCCCATCCTGCCACCACCCCCAGCCAGGGATGACCAGGGGATCCTCATGCCCACGCTGGGACTTACCTTGTCCAGGGTCATGTCCGGGAGGTTGGGGGCCGCATCGCCGCCCTCGCTCTCCTGCTCTGATATGGGATCTGACTCTTCGTAGCCATAGAGGGCAAGCAGCTCGTCGAGGGGCATGTCACTGCTCTGAAGGGGAGGGCATGGCCAGTCTGAGGGATGGGCAGTCTGGAAGACCTGGTCCACCTCCTCTGCCTGAGCTCCACTGGCCACCACAACCAAGACCGCTGGCCACACCCTCAGCAAGTCCCTGTGCCACAGTGCCGCCCAGCCAGACCCAACCCATCCAGCATCAGGACAGGCAAGAGAGACATCTGAGCCAAAGCCAGGTGCAGCCACCCCCACTACCCGCCCCCTTCACAGGGACAGTCCTATGTGGGAGGACACCCAGGGTCCAAGGACAGCTTGACATCTGGCCATCTACTACCACAACTCATGATGCCAAGTTGAAGGAGAGAAAACATATCTAAACTGAGCATTTGGTAAAAGCCAATATCCACTCCTGATTTAACAAACAACAACAAACATCTCAGTAAACTAAATAACAGACAGGCACTTCAAAGAACAGAAAGGCTGTTCAACACCAGGTCAACACCAGTCAGTGGACGGAGCCCATGGGAGGCCGGCTATGGGTCCTGATGCTGCACGGGGCAGCACTCCCAACACAGGAGCCAGAGCAAGGTATCACGTCCTGGGAAGGAGATATACACCATTCCCCTCCTCTCCCCTGGGGCCGAAGCAGCTGGTAGACAACTTGGCCACCCACAAGCACACATGAATGCAAACCACAGCCACCCCACAGGCCTTTGAACCACGGCTACTCTAGGGATATGGCTCCGATGTGGTCTCTGTGTAAACCAGGGATGTATTTCAAGGGGACAACATGGCTGGCTGCTATGTAAGGTTCAACTTTTAAGCACAATACTATAGTTTTAAAAATGTAGCTAGCAGCTAGTGGCTGATACCTGTAATCTTAGCTTCTCAGGATGTTGAGATCTGAGGATCATGGCTTGAAGCCAGCCCAGGAAGAAAAGTCCATGAGACTCTTATTTTCAATTAACCAAACTGCTAGGCTGGAGATGTGGCTCAAGTGGTAGAACACCAACCATGAGCAGGGAAAAGGAGAGGGCAAGAGTGCAAGGTCCTGAGTTCAAGACCCCAGTACCAGCGCGCACGCACGCGCACGCGCACACACGCACACGCACACACACACACACACACACACACACTCCTAAATCCATACAAGAACAATGGACAGTGAACTGCTCATGTGTACAGTTACCCACTGTCGCTACATTTGAAGGTAAGACCTTCATAGAAGCAGCTATGGTACAAGCTCACAGGGCAGGCCCTGATATGACAGCAGCAATGTCTAGACATCAGAGTTCTCAGTAGCTGGAAAGGCAGCATTCAAGAGCCATACACAGCCATACCAGGAACCCATCCTAATGGCCTGGAGCCTGTACCTCCTGCCCAGGTCTGAAGTGCATCATGATGGCCTATGTCATTCACAAATGTGGGATGGGTTTATACTGAAGACCTACATGTTAAGCACTCTGCCAAGGGCTCCCCCACACCCAACTGACCAGTCATAGTGGCTAACGGTCAATGGACTCAGAGCCTCTGGGCTGTGGCCTCTAGGGGCACCTGTTCTTTAGGAAATGTCTCCAGCTGACTCCACAGCAACACCAAAGAGAACCAGTCACAGTCTTGGCAAAGCCTGCCAGGTGCACCTGCACCTCCCCTGAGCAGCAGCAGGCCTAACCCTGGGCCACAGAACAGGCCACGGTGAACAGACAGCTTCCCACGCGGCAGCTGGATGCACAGAGATTTGGGAAGTGCAACATTCCCCGTACTCTTCCTCTTTTTCCATCTCCACAAACACATGCTGCTTCTGTCACCAGGCACTGTTGTTACGGGGTGCTCAGGTGGAGCCCCGGGCCTTGCCCTGCCTCTAGAAAGCACCCTGCCTCTGAGCCACCCGCAGCCCTGCCACTGCCATCACGACCACACACGCATTAGTAAACAAGAAGTCTAAAGGCCATGGACTTGCAATACAACACAGTGAAAGGCCGAGACTTGCCGACACACACAGGCTCAAGCACCTCTGTGACTTTTGGGAACAGAGGGGGGATCAGAGGTCGTGTGAGCCCCGGTGGACTCAGCACCCAGCAGGGCACCCAGCACACTGCAATCTGTGTGCACACATGGCACAGGGCCATGGGCTCCACGCACCTGGGAGATGAAGTCCTTGTCCAGTTCCTCGTCGGGCTTGTCAGGGCACCTTGAGGCCTCTGCACAGCCCTCCCGGAGGTTGTAGTTCTGCGACAGGATCTCTGTAAGGCTGAACTGATGGTCTGCAGAGCCCATGGACACCACTGCGGAGGAGACCCCCAGCCCCGTGAGCCCAGCCTGTCCCCAGCCACCGCACACACAGAATGTGTCTGAATCCCCAGCAGGCATCAGGGTGCACAGAGGCTACTCAGCAGGGCCAGCCCTCCATGAGGGATCCCAGAGGACACAGCCAGCAGGGGGCTGAAAGAGGCACAGCTAAACTCCATATGGACAAGTGTCTGTGTTGGCACAGAGGCCTGCAGGGTAGGGAGGAACTTGTGCACTGGGCTGGAGGGCACCGGTCATGAGAGGAACGGTAGGGCCCACAGGTCACACAGGGCAATGCCCACAGGTGGCTGCAGGGCCAGCTTGGAGGACCAGGCCCTTTTATCTGGAGAGCAACAGGCTTGCCATGTGAAGAAGCATGCCATGCTCCAGGCATGGCCCACAAGATGAGGACTATCCCTGACAGGCTTTCCCCAGGGTGAGGTGCTTTCCAGGCTGCCTCTCCACTGCCATATTCAGTAGGTCACATTGAAAGAAAGCACCCAACAGGAAGTAGCCAGGACTCCATGGAACCTAAGCCAGGGGTTGGGCCTAGCATACATACTACATGTACACTGCCTGTCCTGTCAGGGGCGGCAGTAAAGGGGGGGACGCCACAGCTGCCTGACACCCCCAACCCTAAGACCAGTCACTCCTCAGAGGAGTCACATATGGGGAGACAGAGACAATGCAGCCCTATACCTGGCCTGCAACAGGAACCCAATAGCCGAACCCTCCCCATAAACATCAACTCCTCTCCAAGAGTGCAAAAGCAGAGGCCAGAATGAGGGAGCTGGAGACGCTGATGCCGTCTGCCAGGTGGCGGCTCAGGGCAGGTGCGGGGACCTCCTGAGGCCATTCTCTCTCAACCGGCTGCCTCCCAAGGCTCCAAAGCTCAGGGACAGTCCTGGCGGCTCTGCCCACACCTCTACCAGGTGGGGGAGGGGCTGGACTCAGACTCTGTGAGTCCCTGCACCTGTCCTGGCTCAGCCAGGCCAAGGGAGGGCTTGGCCTCTCAGAGCCACTGAGGCAGGACCAGGCATGGAGAGCATACCTGCCGTAGTCTGCAAGCTGGATTCCCTGGGACACAGGCTGTGAGTAAGGCAGGAGGCCACACGAGGACTCTGCCTCTCCAGGGAGGAGGCCTGCGAAGGAAGGGGGCAGGGTTAGCTCCGGACCCACCACCCTCTTCCTGATGGCTCAGCATGGCTGCAGGAGCTGGCTTCACCTCTGCCTCTGATGGGGAGTAGGCACTGAGAGGGAGGAGCAGCAGCCACGGTCTCCCACAGCAATCCATCCAGTCGCCTGAGCACCACACTCAAATAAAAACTCCCCAACAACCCTACCAGTCTCAACACCAAACTACCACACCAATAGACCTGGAAGACATTGCCGTGAGAAAATGAGACATAAAGGGCCCGCAGTGTGCAGCTCTACTGATGGGAAATATCCAGAAAAGGAGGTCTGAGAGGCAAGAAATGAGCCTGGTGCTGATGGCCCACGCTTGCAATCCTAACTAGTCCGGAGACTGAGATCTGAGGATCACAATTCCAAGCCAGCCTGAGTAAGAAAGTCCATGAGCTTCTTTATCTCCAATTAACCACCAGAAAACCAGACTTGGAGCTACGACACAAAGTGGCAGAGTGCTAGCGTTGAGCAAAGCTCAGAGACTGCACCCAGGCTCTGAATTCAAGCCCCCAGGATGAGAGAGAGAGAGAGAGAAGATCCATGGGTGCCAGGGATGAGGGAGGGGATGAGGTGACTGCTCATGAGGATGGGCTGCTATGTGGGGTTATAAAAATATTACAAAACTAAACAGAGGTGGCAGCTGACCAAGTGTATGAGTGTGTGGACCATAAATTGTATACTTTAAGTGTGAACCTATGGTATATAAACCCAGGAACTGCCAGTTTAATGGCTCATACCTGTGAATCAAGCTATGCAGGAAGCAGAGGCAGGAAGAGCAAGGGTTCAAGGCCAGCCCAGGCAAATGGTATGGAGGTATGACTCAAAAATAAAACACAGGGGCTGGGAAGGTGGCTCAGTGGTAGAGTGCTTGCCTTGCATGCATGAGGCCCTGGGTTCGATTTCTCCGCACCGCATAAGCAAAAAGAAAAAAAGCCGGAAGTGGTGCTGTGGCTCAAGTGGTAGAGCACTAGCCTTGAGCTGAAGAGATGAGGGACAGCGCCCAGGCCCAGAGTTCAGGCCCCACGACCGGACCCAAAAAAAAAAAAAAACCACAAACAGAAGTGTTGTAGTGGCTCAGGTTGTATAACACTTGTCTCCCATGAGAAGCCTTGAATGAGTCAGTGACTCATGCCTGTAATCCTAGCTACTCTAGAGGCTGAGATCTGAGAATCACAGTTCAAAGCCAGCCTGGCAGGAGAGTCCATGAGACACCTGTCTCCAATTAATCAATAGAAAACCACAAGTGGAGCTGTGGCTCAAGTGGTAGAACACTAGCTTTGAGCAGAAAAGCTCAGGGTCAGTGCCCAGGCAATGAGTTTAAGTCCCAGGATTGGCACACAAAAATATTTTAACTTGAAAAAAATAAGTAAGACTTCAGCAAGACTGCATCATCTAAAATATCCACCTAATTTCTATGTACTAGCAATGGACAATCCAAAAGCAACAACAATCCATTCACAACATTAAGAAATATACTGCCCTCCCAATTTCAAAACATGCTACAAAGCCACAGCAACCAAAGTGTGTGGTGCTGACATAAGGAGAGGCATATGGAGAAGGAAGCTGACACATTCACAATCAGTTGAACTTCAAGGAAAGTGTCAAAACAATGCCATGGACAACAGTTTTTTTTTTTGTTGTTGTTGTTGTTGTTCATGGGGCCTGAACTCTGGGCCTGGGCGCTGTCCCTCAGCTCTTCAGCTTAAGGCTAGCACACTACTACCTGAGCCACAGCTTTTTCTGCTTATGTGGTGCATGCATCATGCATGCAAGGTAAGTACTCTACCACTGAACCACCTTCCCAGCCCCTGGACAACAGTCTTTTTAACAGAAAGGTACCAGGATAAAAGGGTGTACAAAAGGATGAAGAGGACCACTGCCTCATACCATATGCAAAAAAGTAACTCACAATGGATGAAAAGACTTTGTAAGAGCTCAAAGTAGAAAGTTGTAGGCTGGCTAACACCTGTAGTCCTAGCTATTCAGGAGGCTGAAATCTGAGGATCACCTTTCTTTTTGTCTTTTCTTTTTTTTTTTTGGGGGGGGGGTCGGTTGTGAGGCTTGAACTCTTGAGGATTATAGTTCAAAGCCAGCCCAGAGAGGAAAGTCCACAAGACTCTTATATCCAATAAACTACTCAGAAAAGGCTGGAAGTGGTGCTGTGGCTCAAGAGGCTCAGGGACAGCACTCAGGACCTGAGTTCAAGCCCAGGACCAGAAAAAAAAAGAACAGCCAGGCTTTAGTGGCTCGAGGCAGTAATCCTAGCTACTCAGGAGGCTTAGATTTGAGGATCATGGTTCAAAGCCAGCCCAGGCAGGAAACTCTGTGAGATTCTTATCTCCAATTAACCACCAGAAAAGCAGAAGTGGCGTTATGGCTCAAGTGGTAGACTGGTCTTGAGCTGAAAAAGCTGAGGGACAGAGCCCAGGCTCAGAGTTCAAGCCCCATGACCAACCGGGAAAAAAAAAGAACAAATATTTATAATCCTACATTTGGCAATGGTTTCTTAGATAAGAAGCAACTAAAGAAAGAATAGGCTTCACTTATACAAAAAAAGTGAAAAGAAAGTGAAGGAAAGAGGGGTAAGAAAGAGTAATAGAGCCAGACATGATAGGTCGTACCTGTAATCCTAGCTATTTGGGAGTGGAGATTGAGAGAATTGAAACTCAAGGCCAACCTGGCAAAAAAGTTTGAGAAATCCCATCTTAACTAATAAAAGCTGATATGGTGACACCCACCCATCATTCCAGCCACATAGGAAGTGCAAATAGGAGGATCTTAGTCCAGAGTGACCTCAGACATAAACACAAGACTACTTGAAAAATAACCAAAGCAAAAAGGGCTGGGAGACTGGCTTAAGTAGTAAAGCACCTACCTAGGACGTGCAAGACCCTGAATTTAAACCCCAGTGCCACAAAAAAAAAAGAGGAAAGGATAACAAAGTATTATCAAAATATATTACAAGTATGTATGAAACTATCCCTCCATATTACACAAATAATATGTACTAATGAAAACGTGGGGAAAAAAGAAAGTAAAAAGACAATTCAAATAGCCAGGTGCCAGTGGTTCACACTTGTAATCCTAGCTACTCAGGAGGCTGAATGAGATCTGAGGACCGAGGTTCAAAGCCAGCTGAGGCAGGAAAGTCTATGAGACTCTTAGAAAACTGGAAGTGGTGCTATGGCTCAAGGGGTAGAGCGCTCGCTTTGAGCTGAAGAGCTGAGGGACAGCGCCCAGGCCCAGAGTTCAAGACTCACACACACACACAAAAAAGACAACTCAAAGAATGGAAGAAAAATATTTATAAATTATGTATCTGAAAAAAAAATTTTTTGGGTCAGGTCGTGAGGCCTTAACTCTGGGCCTGAGCGCTGTCCCTCAGCTCTTCAGCTCAAGGCTAGCGCTCTACCACTTGCGCCACTTCCAGCTTTTTTTCTTTTTGCTTATGTGGTGCTGAGGAATCAAACCCAGGGCCTCATGCATGCAAGGCAAGTGCTCTACCACTAAGCCACCTTCCCAGCCCCTCTGAAAAATTCTTGTACAACTACTAAGATCAATACAGGATCTACATATACACTTCTCCAAAGAAGATTTACAACATTTTTTTTTTAAAGCAGATTAGGGGTTTGAACTCAAGACCTATGCTTGTTTGACAGGGCTCAAACTACTTGAGCCATGCCCTGAGCTTTCACAGAAGGCATGCAAATAGCCAGGAAGCACATGGAAAGATGCTCAACATTGGCTGGGAATGTGGCTTAGTGGTAGAGTGCTTGCCTTGCATGCATGAAGCCCTGGGTTCAATTCCTTAGTACTACATAAACAGCCAGAAGTGGCACTGTGGCTCAAGTGGTAGAGTGCTAGCCTAGAGCCAAAGAAGCTCAGGGAGAGTGTCTAAGCCCTGAGTTCAAGCCCCACAACTGACCAAAAAAAAAAAAAAAGATGCTCATCATACCCCACCACTACAAATCACTTCTTAATCCTAGAATTCCTAGAATGGCTAGGAATAAAAAGACAGACAATAACAAGTGTTGGCAAGAATGCAGACAAGTCAGAACCTTCACCCCCTCCAGGCAGAAGTGTACCATGAAGCAGCTATTTTGAAAAACAGACTGGCAGCTCCTCCAAAGTCAGGCAGTGGGTTATCACATGACTCCAAGAGAAATGAAGACAGACACCTGAAGTCTGCACACCAATGATCATAGCAGGACTATTCATAATATGAAAAACTGAAATAATCCTAACGTCCAAGTGCAAATAAACACAAAGACACAAAGGCTCTCACACATTCTACATGATAGACCCCGAGGATGCTTCAAGAGAGGAATACAAAATACAAATACCATTCCCAAGGCCAGTGCAGAACGGGAGAACCCAGAGGGAAAAGCACTATCTATAACTAACTGGGTCTTCTTTTGAGATGAAGAAAATGTTCTCAAATTGATTGTGTCTGTTACGCAACTCTTCGAAAATATGAAAAGCCACTGAATTGTACACTAAAATGGGTGCACTGTATGGCAGATGAATCACATCTTCTGCCCAGGGACGCTTTGTTCTTGCAAAGAGCCTTGGCTACAGGAGGAAACCCTGAGGGGCCACACTTTGGAAGATAAGTTGGGAGTCGTCGCAGTGGACTGTGCAGAAAGAATGAGAGAGGAAGTGTTCTGGCAGGGACCTGAGCAGTCTCACTTGCCATCTAAAGAGTTCCCGGTTTCAGGAAGAGGGGAGCAGACCACAGCAAGAGACAGCGGGAAGAGCAGACAAACAGAAAGACCTCTGAATTCCTCAAAACTTGCCAGACATTCCCCTCTCCACGTCTGATGCCCAGGTGAGTTCCCAGCTGGGCACAAAGGCTCACAACTGTAAATCCCAGCCACTTGGTGATAGGCAGAGATTGGTAGGATCCATGATTCAAGTCTAGCCCAGGCAAAAAGTTACTGAGATCTCATCTCAACCAACAAGACAAGCATGGTGGTGGGCACCTATTACCCCAGTTAAGCAGGGGCATAGGTTGGGGAATCATTATCTAAGGCCAGGCCCAAGCAATAATTCATTACTGTACCTCAAAAATAAAGTAAACCAGGTGCTGGTGGCTGTAATCCTAGCTACTCAGGAGGCTAAGATCTGAGGATACAGTTCAAATCCAGCCCAGATGAGAAAGTCTTATCTCCAATTAACCACCAAAAAAACCAGAAGCAGAATTGTGATTCAAGTGACAGAGCATTAGCCTTGAACCAAAAACTCTGAGACAGTGCTTAGACCCTGAGTTCAAGCCCTAGTACCGACATAAAAATAAATAAGAGAAAGTAAAAATGGCTGGAGATAGGGCTGAAGCAGTGGGGCACTTGCCTAGCCAAGCAACAGGCCTGAGTTCAAGCTTCAGTCTCTCTCCCTCTCCCTCCTTCTCCTTCCCTCCACCCTCTCTTACCCCCTCCCCCCCAGAATGGGTTTCAGGTATCTCTTCCATCTACTCAGAACACTCAGGATGCTCCACCAGCACTAAAGGCCAATAAAGCCTAAATCTTCCTCAGTGAAGGAGGGAAAAGAAAGGTGGGCCTTCAAGACAAAAGGAAGAGAAGGAAGAACAAACAGCATTCCAGAGGCTTGATCATAAAGGAGTCAGAGCCAGGCACCAGAGGCTCACACCTGTAATCCTACTCAAGAGGTTACGATATCTGAGCATCAGGGTTCAAAGCCAGCCTGGGCAGGAAAGTCCATACGACTCTTATCTCTAGTTAACCACTAGAAAATCAGAAGTGGAGCTGTGGCTTAAAGTAGTAGAGAGCTAGCCTTGAGCAACCCAGGCCCTGAGTTCAAGCTCCATAACTGACAAAAAAAAATAAAAAAAAATAAAGGGGTCAGAGGCCAGTATGCCATCAGTATTTTCGGGAAGGGAGATATAGGCTGCAGCCCCAATTCTTAGACAGAGTGCAGGTCAGCCTTCTTACCAGCAGCACCTAATTCCTGCTTACTTGCCTTACAGAACTTAAACCAAAGCCCCACTGTAGCAGATTCTAGTCTCTTAGAGGGTGGCTGTACGCACACCTCCTGCCCCACACACTCTTCCCCCTAGTGCTGAGCAGGCAGGAGACATAATAGAGGGCTGCCTCCAAGGCTAGGTTACAGAGTACAATTCAGTTTCTGCCTGGCATCTCTTGGAACATTGCCGCCATGTTGTGAGGAAGCCCAAGCCACAGAGAGGCCGCACACATGTATCCCAGACAACATCCTCACATGGGTGAGAAACCTCCCAGGTAAGGCTAGGAGAGACTCCAAGTAAGAACTCCCTAGTGGAGCCCAGTCAGCCCTGAGACCTCCAAAAGCCAAGAATAAACTGGCTGCTGCTGTGTTTGGGGGTGCTAAATTCCCAGTGACCCACTACAGCAATCCTCACCTGGAATGTCCTCCTCCTTAAAAGTCTTCCCTGACCACTGACCTCCTACTGCTCATACCCGTCCCAGGCACTTGGTGAGGCTCCAGCCTCCTTCACTCATTGGAGCAGCTGAGAAACAGGTTCCACCTGTCTCCACCCACATAGGGATCCCAGTCTAGTCAGGACCCAGATAACAAACAGGTGACTGAGAATGTATCACGGCAACAGGAATGAAGAAAACAGTATGGAGGCTAGGAACAGCGCTGGCGGTCACCAGTGGCTGAAGGGAGACTGAAGAGCTCACAGGCCAAATCACAGGCCTAAAGCACAACAGAAAATGAAGGAGCCCATGGGCTGGGGACCACTGAGACCACACCATGGAGCACAGTCAACACAAATTCAGGCACCTTATCCCAAGAGTCTTAAAAAGCCACAAAGGGTCCACACAAGAGTCCAAGATGGCATGCTTCAATTTTCAGAAGATTAATTTAGTGGACTCAAGAAAAGGGAGAACAGGGGGAGGAGGCTGCTGAAGATGGGTCTGAGACAACCTTTATTAGGTTACAAATGGCCTATTTTATGGGTTAGGAACAGCTGGATATCAGTCTCTGCATAAAGTGCAGCTCCCACATACAAATCTCAGGGCCAAGATCCCACAAGCCTTCCAACTCTGGGAGGTCCACCACTGACTTCCCATGTAAGAGATAAGAAAACCAAGTCTCAGCCCCTGAGTTACAGGCTTGGGGCCAGAAGAGGACTCTGGGCAGAGGCTCACCACAGTGGGGAAGTAACTATACACTTATGACTCCTTAGAGTCTGCTGGAGATAACAGACTCTACATCCCTCCAGATCAGCCTATTGGTATTACTCACTGTTGAACCCCAGGTACCAACATGGAGCCAGTAACAGAACTCATGGACCTTTAGGAGCTCGTATGGGCAATGTAGAACCCAGAAGCCGCAATTCAGTAGCTCTAGGGGGAGCCTGGCTAGAGTCTTCCCTGTGAGGCCAGAGTGTACTCACCACTCCACTCAGCTCCCAGGTGCACCCATTCAAACCACCATACCCTGTGGTCCTGGCTTCATGTGTGCTGGTACTGGGGCTTGAACTCAAGGCCTCTTGCTTTTGCTTGGCTTTTTCCACTCAAGACTAATTCTCTACTACTTGAGCCACACCTACACTTTTGGCTTTTTTTGGTTATTGGAGATAAGGATCTCACACTTTCCTACTTGGGCTGGCTTTGAATAACGATCCAAAGATCTCAGTCTCTTGGGTAGCTAGGATTACAGGGGTAGCCACCAGTGCCCATATGCCTGCGATTCTTGAAGTCAGCTTTCATCCCATGAGGACTCAGTTTCCTTAAAAGGTCCCCTAATAGAACTAAAAAAAACCTTCTGGATCCAGACACTCAGTGAAAAGCAGGAACTAGTGGATGAAGTCCAGTCTAACACATAGGCACCCACACTCTCTCACAAACCACAGGGCCTGCTGCTGCCGAGGCCACTGATGGGAGCGAATGGCCCATCCCCTCCCCCCCTTTCACAACGCCTACACATGGTGAACCAAGGCATAAAACACTTGGTGTGGCTTCATGAGCAAGCCAATTTCTAGTCCCAGATTCCATGAAGCTGGTGTGCCTCTTGGGGTGGGGGGTCGCCTCTCCTCTCTGGTCCTCACAGCTCTACTTGAGATAAGGGTCAGTCCTTGGGCATGTGGATCTGCTTCAACGTGAGCGTAACTTGAGCTGAACACCCAAAGCACTTAGTAGGTACCACAACTAACAAATTCCCTCTCCCCTGCCTCCTGGGACCCAACCCATTGAGGGAAAGTCCTACGGCCAGTCAATCATGTCCGTCATTCATTCCCAAATCCAGAAAGTTCCTAAAGCAAAAAAAAAGTTTCTGTAGGGCAGACCATGGAGCTATCTTTCTTCATCCCAGAGTCCTGGTGAGCCTGATCACACGTTATGGTCCCCTAACCTCAACAATTCGTCAAGTGGTAAACAAATAAATAAGAATAAAAATAAATTCGAGATGGCAGAACATAGCTTGCCCTCAAGGATTTACCAGAAGTAACTCCGTGCCGGTGCAGGCCGATCTAACTCAGCCTGAGGTCAGCCCCAGCAGACCACCCGCCGCGCCGGTCCTCCATCGAAGGTTCAAATACCCGGGGGGTCACTCTGCCCACCCCATGCACGGGCGAACCCAGAAACAGGTAAAGTTGGGCGAGCAAGAGCGACAGACCATTCGCCCCTAGCCCACCCCCGACCTGGAGCTA